GGGGGGGGGGGGGGGGGGGGGGGATATGGCAAAAAAAAAGTGCAAAAAAAATAAGAGTGGATGCAGATCTGTAGCGGATCAGCAGATATTCTGTTTTCTTCTCTTCACTATTTTTTTCTTTCTCACTCTTTTATCTTTTTTTCTTTATCTCTTTTTTTTTGCGTTGAGTAACTTGAAAGCATTTTGAAATATAAAAAAATCAAAGGTTTTTTTCTTTTAAATTTTATTTTTTTATTTTGTAGTTTGTTTTTTGGTAATCTAAAAATTTTTTTTCCTAACAGAAATGCACATCAAACTGTTGTCTACTGAACCATTTTTTATTAGTACTGTTTTTATTACTGTTATTATTGATATTGATAAATCCGTTTTGCATACTGAAAAGGTGGAGAAATCCAATTTTGTTTTGTTTACATGGAAATAAATTTTGTCTTTTTAAATTGTGTTTATGGTAAAGATTAAAAAGACTTTCAAATAAAAGTGCTGATGATGGTAGTGATTTGGTTATACGGTAGTATTAGTTAATTACTGAATTTTTTTAGGCATTCGTTTTCTCTTAGAATTAGATACGTATAAATTGATGGACACCCTGTATATGTTCTCTTTTGTTGTTTATCGGATTCTGAAATTTTTACAGTTTTTAATGTTATGGTTGTTTTGTGCACCAAAACAGTTAACAATAAGCTAGACTGTAATAGTTGCATTTTTTCTTTTGTTTTAATTTCAACATTTTTGGTTTTATTTTTGTTTTTTCTTTTTTTCCAAGTGAAAAATATTTACTTATAAAGAAGAATTGACGTAACGACCGCAACTATTGGAAATTGGATAGGCATCATTTACGCGATAAGTATTTGAGGCTCTTCAATAAACTTTTAGTGTTGTTAATCTTTAGACTGAAATTTTTTAAAGATTAAAAAAAAAAAAGTGGTGAAAAAAGTTGGTTGCTTTTTTAATTCATGCCTACTTACATGTCATTTTGAAGAATTACTGTTAGTGTTTTGAATGTTACTTTTTCTGTGGACGATGATGCATCAGTGATGTTGAGGCGATTTGTGTTTCGTAGCATGTCGTCCATGTTCTCTATCGATTATGCTGAAGTCTAGAGGATCGTTCATTATTGCTGTTGCTTCTCACAGATGTACTCATTTCTTTTTTTACTTTTTTTTTCTTCAACAGTTTTCATTTACAGAAGGAACTTTGTAACAAATACTACCTCCAGACGCATAGGGCCACAAAACACGGTGTTCCGATTCCTGGTTCTTCAACCGGTCTTTCTAACACCACAAGTCAGTTTCATATCTCTTTTTTTTTTTTTTCTAGGCACTTACTATTGCATAGGTTGTATTTTACCTGTATTTCCGGGTAATTTTTGATTATTTTATCTAGTTATACTGTTTTTGAAGTGCCATCAGTTGCTGAGGTTTTTTTAGTCTTATTTTTTTTGCATTTATTTATTTATTTATTTATTCACTTATTCATCTTATCTTTATTTTTCATTTATTTCTTTGTTTGTTTTGCAGAGAAAGAAGGTAGCTGAGTTCTTTCTGTGTTTATTTGGAAAGTTTTCTCTATATCTTGAACCTTATAAATATGTAAAATTCAGGGAGAAAACAGTTTTTCTTGTTGTTTAAAAAAAGTATCAAAAAAGACCTAGTGATAAGCCGTTTTCATCAAGTAAGTTTGATTAAGAAGTCTATTTATCTGCTCATGATAAGTTTTTTCGTTGTTTTTTTTTTTTTTTTTTTATTGAATATTTGTGTCGTGGAACTACTTAGTACACGTTTTGTTTGTATGTTTTGGTGATAAATTTTTTAGGTTATTTATTTCTTAAAAAAAAAAAAATTTTTTTTGGAGATCTAAACTTGCACTCTTCAACTCGTGCTTTGTAATGGTGGTACTTGAAAAATGAGGCTAACTTCGAAACGTGTTAGTTGAGTAACAGTTTTGAAGTTTTCAAAGAGCTTTTCGATAATTCTTTCAACAATCTCAAGAATTTTTACTAACCGGTATTTTCAGGCAAGAACGTTTGCGTGATGTCTTCAGGTCTTGCAAACGCTCAGCAACAACCTCAAACTTCAATTCCTGCTCTGAATTTCCCAGGACTGTCATCAAGTTTTGTTGGGGCAGCAGCAGGACTGGCATCTCAGGGCCCACAATCAACAATGGACATGCAGCAGCTGATGCTTGCATCTCTTGACCCTGTTTGTTTTTTGAATTTTTGTCGTTTTTTTGTATTTTGCTATCTGATTTACTCAAATTGAAGTGGAAAAAATTCGCTGCATTTCTCAATACAATCAAATTTATTTCAGAATTTTGGTAACAATCCACTTCGAGCTTATTACCTCTCGCAGTTAGCAGCCTTATCAAATCAGGGATTGCAAGGTTCAAGCGAACAAAATTTGCCATCGTCTTCCGCGTCGACGACAACTAGTTCAGCAGCAACCACTACTACTGTTGCATCTGGCTCACCACAGAGCGATTTAACATCTCAAGCATCAGCTGCCGATACTCAAGCGGCGCTGAATGGTATCAGGTATGAAGCTTAATAGGGGTCAAAATCGTAATTTTGCTCGGGCACAGTATTTAAATTCAACATCGGTGATGTTAGGACAGAAGAGTATTGTGTTTTTACTGTACAATTATTTTAGCTTAACCGGTTTAAGTGGGGGTAACACTAGCGACCCGTCACCTACTCCGGGTACGACTACATCACAGGCTGGCGAATCTGCTGCACCCTCTGCAGCTGCGTCCGGTGATTTACCTAACTGGCTGAGCAGCTTCTTTCCCAATATAAACAGCGCTGCATCAGCATCAAATGTATTACAAGCATCTGCCAATTCGTAAGGATTCTCGTTATATTTTTTTTTATCTGCATTCAAATATAAGATAAAGTTGTAATTAATTGCATTTTTTTTGTTGGTCATGAAATGAGTTGTACCTTTCAAGGTTAACTACAGCAAGTTCTGGTTTACCGAACTTGTTTGAACAAATGCAGCTCCTAAATGCAGCTCAGATGATGTCTAGTGGACTTGGAGCAACTGGAAATACTATTTCTGGTCCGCCGCTGAACGCTTTGGCAGCAGCACTAAATCAGCCTTCAGCATCTGCAGGAGCTCCACCGCTAACTCCTAATGGAACTGCAGCGCTGTTTGGTGGAAGCACAAATTATAATAGCCCGTCCAAGGTTTTTTGTGTTTGTTCTTTATTTTTTAGTCCTTCTTTCAGTTGTTAAAAAAAAATGAGAATCAGCTGTTTGAGCAGTCATTTCCGGTTTGCAAGTTTTTTTTCATTTCATAATCTGTGTGTTACCCATTTTAACGGTGTAACTTTAGGAATCTTATTGTGATTTATGTGACAAGACATTCTGCAATCGCTATTTTCTGAAAACGCACAGGCAAAAAAAGCATGGCATTGTCAGCGAGGCCCAGTCACCAGTAAAAAGTTTTCCGTCAAGTCCAAGTGCTCTTTCAAGCCTCCCCCTTTCACAGTGTTAGTTATTATTTTTTGTGACTTATTTAGAATGCTCAAAAATTTATTTTCATCGAGCATCGCAAGTCTTGTAGGAAATGGTTAGATATATTCAATGTTTTGTGCACAAGATCTTAGTCTTCTTGATTCCGTCAAACTAGTCACAAAATAAATATTTTTTCGTGCGGCAGAAACGGTTTCTCAGGTTATTTAGAATTGAG